TTGGGAAGCTGTTGGAGATAGTTCCTTGCACAGGAAGGATCAGCAGGTCTCTCAGGGAAGCTGCAGCAGTGTGGCAGCAATCTGTGTGTGTGTCCCCTTGCCGCTCTTCCTGATGCGCTGCGTTTCCCTGGCTGCTTTCAGAGAAGAGGAGGAGGAATTTGGAGCTGATCCCCCTGACGGCACGGATGGTCATGACTCACCTGGTGAACCACCTGAGCCACTACCCTCTGAGCGGGGGCCCGGCCGTGCTGCACAGCCTGCTGAGCGAGCACCACGACAATTCCCACGTGGAGTGCTCGGAGCTGTGCCCGGAGGTGTTCCGCAGCCCCAGCCTGCAGCTCTTCGTGTTCAACGACAGCACGCTCATCTCGTGCCTGCAGGTCCCCGCCGAGGCCACCCGCGAGGGCGCCCCGCCCTCGGCCGTGCGCCTCATCCTCAGGGACATCTCGGGCAAGTACTCCTGGGACGGCCACATGCTCTACGGGCCCCTGGAGGGCTGCCTGCCCCAGCACGGCACCTTCACCTTCAGCATCCCCAGCCAGGATGAGGCCTCGCAGGAGCAGGATTCCCAGGAGGAGCAGGAGCAGGAGGAGGAGGCAGAGGACGCCCTGGAGCGGCTGCTGGAGCGGCTGGGCAGCAGCAGCCCGGAGTGCCTGGCTCCTCCTCAGCGCAGGCTGAACGAGCCGGCGGCGCGGCCCCGCGCCCTGAGCGCCGAGCAGGAGCGCGGCGTGGCCGAGGCGCTGCTGCGGCAGAGCGCCCGCGAGGAGCGGCTGCTCCGCGGCCACGGCCACCGGCTGCCACCGCTGCGGCCACCGCCGCCGGCACGGCCACGCGGCTCCTTCCACTGCTGCCGGCTGCTGCTCGACCAGCTGGGAATGAACGCCTGGGACAGAAGGTACGGGAAGAGCGGACGGGATGGGAACAACACGCGACTCAGCCTGAAATGTGGACGGCTGAGAATGCTGGAATAGAATGGAAATGAAATAAAATAGAATTTGGAATAGAATAGAAATCAGAATAGAATAAAAATTAGAATAGAATTTAGAATAGAATACAAGAGAATTTAGGCTAGAATAATATACGAGTGGAATGGAATAGGAATAGAAAGAAATGGGAAAGGAATGAGAATAGAAAGAGAATGGAAGCAGAAGACAATAGGAATGGAATGAAATGAGAAAGGAAAAGGAAAG